CCTGAGAAACGCTCCACTCTCGTATCACGCGAAGCATCCGATCGTACTCGCTTCTCACCCGTTAGTCACGCTAATCATTAGGCAGGCTCATCTGCGCGCCCTTCATGCAGGCCCGCATTTAACGCTTGCAACGTTGCGCCGCGAGTTCTGGATCTTAAATGCTCGCAGTTCCGTTCGATCTGTTCTCCATAAATGTGTGAACTGCACGCGCGAAAAGGCCGCCGTGCCGCAGCAGCTCATGGGAGATCTCCCATCCTTGCGCGTGTCGGCGCCTTCCCGTAGTTTTCTCCATTGTGGGGTCGACTACGCGGGGCCGGTGCTGGTTCGAGCCTCCGGGGGACGCGGCATTGTTTCGCGAAAAGCATATATCGCGCTCTTTGTGTGCCTCGCCACGCGCGCGGTCCACCTTGAATTGGTTGGAAATTATTCCACCCCCGCATTTTTAGACGCCTACTCTCGATTTTGCTCTCGTAGAGGATTGCCGGAGTCAATGCATTCCGATAACGGAACTACGTTTGTCGGAGCCGACAAGGAACTAGTCAAGGCATACCGAGCGGCAGTAAACGATCCCAATTTCTTAAATGCCATCGCCTCCGATAATGTACAATGGCACTTCCTCCCCCCGTCCGCACCGCATTTCGGCGGTCTCTGGGAGGCCGGCGTACGCAGCGTAAAGTACCATCTTCGCCGAGTTCTTAAGAATCACACGCTAACATTCGAAGAGCTTACGACTCTACTATGCCGGATCGAAGCCTGCTTAAATTCGCGTCCTCTCGCACCGTTAAGTGATACGTTAGACGATTATGAAGTACTGACCCCCGGTCATTTCTTAATCGGGTCCGCGCTCACAGTCAATCCGGAACCCTCGTTATTAAACGTCAACGAGAATCGCTTGTCACGCTGGCAAATCATCCGTCACATCACCGAGCGGTTTTGGCGGCTGTGGCAGACGGAATACGTTAGCACCTTGCAGCAACGCGTCAAATGGCGAAGATTACAAGCGCCAGTGAAGATCGGGCAACTCGTCTTGTTACGAAATGCCACTTTACCTCCCTGTAAGTGGGAACTCGGTCGTGTAACACAGTGCCATGCGGGCGCTGACGGGCTGATTCGCGTGGTGACCGTGAAAACACCGACCTCCGAATATAAACGTCCGATCGTAAAATTATGCCTACTCCCGATCGACTGTGAGGCGCGCGCTGACTGACCTCTCCGGCATAAGCATTGTAAATGAACTTGTCACGGCGGGCGGTACGCTCGGTATCGCCACGTCTTGTTTTTTTTTCAAAAAAAAAAACCTCATGTAATTAGCTTGTCTTACTACTCTAAGTTGATCTAGTTATAAGATATATTCTATCTTCCCGTATCGACCTATCGACCGCCACGAGCACATCGCGGATTTCGAAACGTATTTCGAGGCGGGCGGTATGTTGAGGATAGAAAACGAATCCGTTGCGAGAGAGGAATTGTTGGGC